TTTGTAATCTGCCTTCATTGTTTTGGTGTGGCTAGCCCATTGGATGGAATGTGCCTTGTTGCTGTTTTGGGGTTGATTCTGGGTTAGCTGATGCTTGTTTGATGTTGCTATTGGGAGTTCACTTCAGTTGGCTGATGTTGATCTGTTTGGGCAATATGGACCTGAACTGTTGTGGTGTGGACTGCTGAAATGTTGTGATGTCTGTCTTACTATGTTAATCTAATTTGTTGTGCTGAATTGATGGTGAAAAGTCTGCTCTTGCTTGTGGGTTCCTGCTGCGGTGGGCTACTGATAAAAGGAGTAATTTTGGTATGTTTTGGTCTGTTTTTTGGTGAAATTGGGCTACTGATAAAGGAGTAATTACTCTGGGTTTTGGTCTGTTCATTTCATTAGTTTATTGTTGTTTGATAGTTATGGGGTGTTTGGTCTGTTTCAGGTTTGGTTAGTTTTTTGGGTGTGGTTATTTTGGTGTTTGTGGTTGGTTTCTCACCAACTCGCGATGGTGTGCTAGTATATGATTGGACGACCTTATTGGTGCCGCCCTAGTTACGATTGATTAGGTTCACTATGATACTTTTTGCACTCATCCTCCTCTATCTTTTATTGATGTAATAGTTTTCTGTTTCATCAATAAAGTTTCTTTTCTTTGCTGATCAAAAAAAAGAAAAAAAGAAAAAAAAAGAGAAACGTTTTATAATCATTTTAGTTAGTGTGTCCTCCAACAATACATTTTACATTTAATCATGTAAGCACTTAAAACAAAAGAATGTTTTTGCCCAACATTTCTTAACTCTTTAATTGTAGCTAATCCTCTGGAGATGAGATGTAATACCTAAGGTGTTCTTATTTTGTTGAAACTCTGAAATTGTGATTTAATTGGATAAAATGCATAAGAAATATAATATAAAGAGCATTGTTGCTCTGATAGGGATGTAAACGGTACGGTTCGATTCAGTTGGTGTAGAGAGTAAGTTTAGTACCAAACCGATCATTTCGATTTTCATGGTTGAGAAACCAATACAGATCATATGTTATGGTTCAATTTTATCGGTTTTATTGGTTTGATATACAACAGGGATTTGCATGAGGTTTTAAAAGGTTTTATAAAAGCCAATAGAATTTCACATTGAAAATAAATGAAGAAAAGTTATGAAAGTTGCTCTATAAATATTTATTTCCCTAATTTTTATCACAAAAGTGTATTATATTAGTTACTTATCATATAATACTGAAGAAATTATAATTTAAAAGTATTTAAACATAATTTCGGTCAGTTCGGTATAAAAATTTTCAAAACTTGAATAGGCTATATGTAATGAAAAATAAACCGAAAACAAAAATTTTGATCAATTTCGATTGGTCAGTTTGGTTCTATGGATTTCTCTTAGGCTGGTGCTTGCCTCCAGTACGACATCTAGATTGGAGGGTCCAGTCCGGCCCATTGGGCTTATTTTTGGACTTTTTTTCGATAATCTGAACCGTTCACATTTTAAGATTTGTTAAGTACATTATCCTTATAAAAAATCACGTCAATTGGATAATGGATACTATGTATTCAAATTACTTTTTATGAACTGTTAATTTTCTGACCATCCATTTTTTTCAAGACAAAAGTGATTCAAATATATAGTATCCGTTATCCGATTAAAGTGACTTTTTACAGAAATAATGTACTCAATAAATCTTAAAATGTGAACGATTCTATTTATCAAAAAGAGATTTAAAAATGAGTTTAATGAAATGAATTAAACCGGACTATCTCAAATCTGGACCGGGGACAATCTGTACCTTTTTGTTACACGCTTACTCTTAAGGCATTGCAAAATGAGAGATGGATCATTTAATGAAAAATGAATGTGAAGCTTTTTTTAGTTAATGAATTAAAAAGGGCGGCGAGACTATGGTGGCACGCTAATTAAAGTTGATCTATTGTCACTTGTCGATTTGGTTGGTGCCAATTTCATGTTCTGAGAGTGATCTTTAGTGAATAATTTGAGAAATGTTTAATAACAAGTAATATTTTAAAACTAACAGTGATATAGAATTTCAATCGTAGAGCTCTAATCAGAGTTGTAAAAAAATAAAAATAAAAATAAAAAAATAAAAACACAGGCTAAAACATTACATCATATGATAGGGTCCATCATTAGAACTCTCTCTAGAATTCTCAATTTTTATTCATTTTAAAAATAAGACCAAAAGTGATACATTTTTCCAAATTCAAAATTTTTTTTTTTGCTTGTTCACACAAATAAACAGAGACATAAATCCTATATTATAAAGCACAAGTATAATGAACATACCCCATTTTTAACATTAAAATTTCAATTACATCAAATATTATCATTAAGAACTAAACCTTAAAATTCAAAAACAAAATTTTCTCTAAGCCCCACCCATCGACCCACTCTCATCAAAACCCTAAGCCATCACTATAATCACCCAATTCAAAACCCTAATCTGACGTTAGATGGAATAGAAGAGAGGGAGAGGGGGAGTGGATTGAAAAATGTATGAGGTTAAAGATGAAAAACATTTGAAACTACAAGATAATTTTTTTAACATTTTAAGTCGATGTTGAAAGAACGTGAGTGTAGAGAGGGAAAATGTGGCTGTAATAAAAAAAAATTTACAAAAAAAACTTTTCCTCTTCTTTTCAAAATTATGGTTGTATTTAAAAAAAAGAAAAAAAAAGAAAAAGATAACATTGAAATGTGATGATTGAAATTTTTGAATTTGAAAGAAAAAACAAAACATAAATGAAACTTCTAAAAATGAAAACAAAATACACAAAACAGAGGGAATACTTCCATTGATTTACCAATTGTCCTAAAAATTTAAATTTAAACTGATAGTGCTAATTTATATACTCTACAATATATATCATCCCTTTTACAATATTCAAGGCTTTTGTAAGATAACCCATTTTGGTCATAAATTATTACCAACTAAAGAAAAGAAGGGGTAAATTATAGGGAGATTTATTTATAAGTCCATTTTCAGACACTTATGGTAGGTTAAGTCCTGTGTAATTTCTTATAGAGTCTCAAGTCTTATTTAGATAGGAATGTATTCTACAAGATCCTACATAAACGTAACGTAACGTGACACTTATATAAACGTAACGTAACGTGTTACGTTACGTTTCGCAAACTTAATGAGTTTTTATTTTTTTAAATTGAATGTGAAAATGTTGCTGGTTTGTGTTGGTGTGGGAAATTGAATGTTATCATAGATCATAGGTGTCACGTTACGTTTATATAGGTGTCACGTTACGTTACGTTCATGTAGATATGATCTATGGTAACATGCAATTTCCTATATGCAATTTCCTATATATAGGAAATTGCATGTTACCATAGATCATAGGTGTCACGTTACGTTCATGTAGGTGTCACGTTACGTTACGGTTTTACTATTATTTATAATATTAACAACTAATATTGAGGGTAAATGTGTCAACAAACTTCTTACAGGACTTATGGAAACATAAATTTTTTAGTAGGACCATATGTAACATAAGTCTCCCTAATAGGACTTATAAATAATTTTCCCTAAATTGTACTAATGTCTTATGAAATTGAAAAAAAAATACACTAAATACTAAACTCTAAAAACAATAATAAAAAATTCTATAATTTTGACATAATTATACTGATCTTTTTATTAAAGTTAAAAGAATTAAAATTAATACATATTATGTGAAAATACAGAGATAAACAAGATAAAATATATATTTTTAGTCTAAAAGAGATAGACAATATCTATTTTTCATTCGTATGATTAAAATTTTTTGATGTAATAAAACTATATATTTTTCATTCATATGATTAAATTTTTTTGATGTAATAAAACTATATATGACTTACTGTATTTTATTCAAATTTTAAGAGAATTCAATGTAATTTATGTAAAAAGAAAAAGAAAAAAACAGTTGGTGATATAGTGCATGCAGAGTCTTCTCATAAACTAAAAATAAATAAATAATTGGGGGAAATAACCACTTAGTGGATGGTTGAATTTTTTTTTTCTTTACAAATTTTAATTATTAAAATTATAAGTTTTTTCATAAATATATAATTTGTTTTAAAAGCTACACCTAATTTGTAATTTTTCCTAAAAAAAAAGTGTAAGTAGGGAAAATTATTCTGGAACATGGGGTAATGTATGTGTGATATTCTTAATTAATAAAAAATTATATAAAATGAATATTTTAAATTATCAGAAATGAACCTTCGATAAGTTTATCGGCCCTCAAGTTCTCTCTAATCCTAAATTAGAAAAATGCTATTCAAAAAAAAAATTATAAGAATAATGTGACAATATTATTTTGATACATAAATATTATCTTTGTGTTTTATATTTTAAAATCAATGGTTTACAATCAGCTACATCATCATTTATAGAAATTTTATATAAATTTTTTGTTTTATATCATTACTGTCCTAAATAATTACCATGGTGACAAGTGTAAATAATTGAAAAAATTACTTGTCAGTGTAAAGCTTAAAAAATTATTACATATGTATGGAAACTTTTATAATTTTAATTAGGAAAATTTTAACATGCATACCCTCAAAGAGTGCACCATTGCACCCTTAATTATACCATTTACTTCTTTAGTTATAAATAATTTTCTTCTTTAGTTATGATATTATTTTAATTACGACTCATAAATATTTAGTTATCCTCTTGTTGTATTTGGTTATGATATTTTTTTAATTAAAACTCAGAAGGTATAAAATTATGTCATTTTTTTTTCTTTAGTTATAAGGTACATATGGTACACACCAATTAGTATACCAATTAGTGTTATGACGTTATTACTGCCCCTACCCCACAAATTACAAATACTAAAAACTTTTAAAATTATATAATATTATCTGTTAATACACTAATTGATATAGCAATAAGTGCATATAACATTATTCTAAAACTTAAAATTGATTTGTAATATTAATCTTGATGGACCAACCGCGTTTTCCAGCTCTCCTTCCCACCTGCTTCTTCTTTCTTCTTTCTTCGCTCATAAGAAAGAAAAAGTCTCTCTCTATTACACACGCGAAGTCTTCACATAAAGGTGTAAACGAGCCAAGTCTCTCTTGTTGTTGTGCTCTTATATTTGATAAAAAGCTCTTACTGAGTCACACTACTCTGATCAAACAAAGCAAATAAAAAAAAGAAAAGAAAACAGAGAACAAAGCAGAGGAGGCATGGGAAAGAAGCTTGATGCTCTGTTTGGGAGAGACTTCAAGACCGCCAAGTTCAATCCCCTCGTCAGCTTCTCCATTTCTCGCCTCGCCGTCCTCAAGAACCAGCGCCAGGCCCGCTGCTCTCTTGCCCGCTACGACATTGTTCAGCTCCTCAACCTCGGCAACCATGACCGAGCTCTTCTTCGGGTACTTTTTCAAACTCTTAAATTCATTGACCACTCCTATGGTTTTGCTTGGTGTTTTATTTATTTTTAATTTGTTCATAGTGGGTTTTTTTTTTTTTGGGGGGGGGACAGGTTGAGCAAGTGATCAAGGAGCAGAATATGATGGATGTATTTGTTATGATTGAAGGCTATTGTAATTTGTTGGCTGAGAGGACCAACCTTATTGAACAAGAAAGGTAGTAGTTTCTTCCTGTACCTTCTTTCATTTAGTTTCTATTCAATCCGAAACACCTAACCAAGATCAATGAGATACGAATTATAGAAGAATGCATAAGAATTGTATATCATACGCACATACAAAGACACGACATTTATGTGGTTTTCCCAAAAACCATCACTCTCAACTACATAAACATAGAAATTAAGACAACAGGTCATAAAATACAAAAATATATATATATATATATATACATATTCTTATTCCAAATTCAAGTGGTTAGTGACCGGTAATCCACACTTCCAAAAAAACATTCTTTGATTTGTTAAACAAAATTCAATTGCTTTTCTTTTGTTTTTCATTGTTTTCTGTATTTGTTGAAATGTTGTTGATTATGTAGAGAATGTCCTGAGGAGCTGAAGGAGGCAGTGGCAGGCTTGCTCTATGCATCTACAAGATGTGGGGAGTTTCCAGAGCTTCAAGAGATGCGTGCTATTTTCACATCTCGATTTGGGAAGGAGTTCGCAGCTCGTGCCATTGAATTGCGAAACAATTGTGGAGTGAATCCAAAGGTATTTTATTCAACAACCCGATATTTCAATTTGGATTATGAAGAATTCAAAGGATGTTAAATTTCACATGTTTTGTAATTCATGTGAAGATGATACAAAAGCTATCAACCAGACAGCCAAGCTTGGAAAACAGATTGAAAATGCTCAAGGAAATTGCTTCCGATAACAACATTGTTTTGCATATCGAGGACGAAGCTTCAATAACCTCAGAGGTATTCATTCAATCAATATGTATTAGAATCAGGAATTGTATGAATATTAATACCATTGCTTTGTTCAAAATATAGACACATCTTCATGACAAGTTGCTCACCATGTGAAAATTGCAGGAAATATTCAAGACACAACAGAATTCAGGTGGAGATAAAAAGCATAGTTTGCATGAGATAGAAAACATGGAGAGTTATTCTGATTCCATGAAAACGCCGAGAAAATACAAGGATGTAGCAGATGCAGCAGAAGCAGCTTTTAAATCAGCAGCTTATGCTGCAGCAGCAGCTAAGGCAGCAGTGGAACTCTCCAAGTCTGATTACCCTGGCTCTGATGATCAGAACAGTCCTCATCATCATGGTACAATAAAATCCAAACCTCAAACTACTGAGGACAACAATTCCAGAGGAATTGAGGATCAGAATGTTGGAATGGGATTTGAGATGGTTCATAAATACTATTCTGATGAATCTGAAGACGTGGAAATTCATGACGAAAAAAGAGCTGAAGAATTTGAAGAGAGTAAAATGGCAAAGACGGGTTTAGACTCGGATTTGCCTGTGAATGTACCCAGTGAGACAAGGCCAATGGAGAAGGGAACGAATTTTGATGAGAGTGATGATGAGACTGGCCATGACTTGGGTTCGGATATGAAGACTACTGATCTTACGAATGAAGGTTTGGTTTCCAAAAATTCTAATCGAATTGTCGATGAAAATCTATCTGAAAGAGATGGTACAAAGCTCAACCAACCTCGAAAGAAGACCCCCTTTACTGGTCTGAAAGCCATATTCAGAGCCTGGAGATCTTGAAGAACATTATGCTGACAGATCCAGAAACAAATGGCACGACATTTAAATGCAGAGAACCAGACGAGCACAAGGGCATGAAAAAGCATATTAGAAAATTTGGATTGGGTTGGGTTGCAGTAATAGCATAGACTTTGTCTACACATTGGAATGGTTGGATCATTTTTTTCTTTTTTTGGGATAATCTTATTTGCAAAACTGTGAACTAGTGTAATGGTTTTGGATGTGAGTGGTTTGTAAGGTTTCAATATATCTCAATTATTGTATTTGTTCTTAAGGTGTCAGTTTTGTAACCTTCTAATATGTGAGAGGATACTGTCATGTAATGTAATGTATATGAAAACAAATCAGACCTAAAAAGCAAAAATCATATACTTACAGAATCAAATATTTTAAGAGCTTTCACGGTCATCATTAGCCTAATATTCAGATTATATCAGTATTAAGTAAAGAACGTTCATATCAATGCATGCATATTCCGATCAAAAATTATGGGGAAAGAAAAAAAAAAGAAGAAAAGAAATGGTGTCTATGTTATCCTTTGTTCGAAAAACTAAATCCCAAATTTCAAGGGGTCTTATGCTTGATTGTTCTGAACTGTGTCTACGCATTGTTTGGATGACACTAATTTTTATATTATGCACCAGATACAAGTGTAGGGCAAGAAACAACTCTAAATGGTGGTCTTCTGAAACATATTCAATAAGTTGATATAAATGAAAATAATAGAGGAAATACAAACATAGGCAACTATTATGCAGCAATTCACAATTATCAAACTCAAATTTTGCAACACCCAGAAGCATATCAGATAAGACAATTGAATGTTGCAATCATGGTGGATTAAAGAAACACAAACAGTTAAAATGCAACACTTTACAATCCTACAAACTCGGATTTTGCAAATTTGGATCAAGAACATGGCAAAGTACATTATGTAAGTATGTGTGTTTAGGACAAGTTGCCACCACTCTGTTGCCAGAGATTGATGATATCAGTGGCTTGATTAAGGAGTATGATCATTTTCTTTTGGGAAATCCATGGCTTACCCTCTAGAGTGGTTTTGATTTCTTCCCATGCATCTTTCCTTGGCCAAAAGAAGTATGGACTTAATGGGATGGTGCCATGGCCTGGTATGACTTGATCGAGGCCAAGACCGATGTTCTTCTCCATCCATATGAACTTCAACACCAGCCGCGGTTTCTCTATTGTTTTCACCACCACCTCAGGTTTCTGCAAAATGAATGATTCATTAAATTGAAGTAAAACTCAAACTAAAAAAATCCCATGTTGGTATGGAGACAGACTGACAGAGTGAACAAAAATTGGAGAAATAAAGAGCAGAGACAGCCCATTTCAATGAGTGCACATGACGGATGGATTTACATTGGGGCAAGTAGGGGCAATTGCCCCTGTTGAACTTTGGAAAAATACAATAAATTCTACAATTTTGACATAATTACATTAGTTCTTTTTTCAGCAATAATTCATTAGTTATATGGATGGAAAAAATGATATTATCATCTCTTTTTTAGGATACTTTTCCTTATTCATCATTGTGTTTGATACTATCTGCATTAATTCTGATCTATTCAGTCTTGCTAAAGGGAGATTAGTGTAATTATACTAAAATTATAGAACTTACTGTATTTTGTTCAAATCTTAAGAGAAATCGGTGCAATTTACCATTTTTCTTAATCATTATACCATCATAAACATTTAAAGGGTAAATTATACTCATCTTCTTTGAGATTTAAAAAAATATATATATAATTAATTCCATACTTTTGACATAATTACATTAATCAATTTTGAGATTTATGTTGGGGAATTTTCAAAATAATTTTCAAATTCATAGTTTAGTTTTTGGGTGTTTTCAAAACCTTCCTTATTTTCCTTTGGAAAGCTTGAAATAAGCTTGTAGACTTTGTCCCACATTGAAAAGAGAGCAAAACATGGAGCACCTAATAAAGTGCTACATGGAATATTCATTTGAATATGAAATTGTGGAATGGATACTAGGGTGCATGAACTCACACCGTATCCGCACACGAGCGTGTGGCGTGGATAATGTGTTGTGTGGCATTTGATGGCGCACTTTGCATGGAGGCATCAAGGCGCCATGAGGGCGCTTTCCTATTTGTATCAAACAGGTTGGAGCGATGACATGGATCCAACGTGGCATGGATGACGTAGAATACAGTCAGCTCTGCATAGCAGTGATGTGGCGTCTGTTGGCGATAAGTCAATCAACTGATCGAGCAGTTTGATCACAGTCGTTGATTGGAGATGCATGTGATCGTATGGATGAGATGACACCCAATCGTGATCAGGTATGATCAGTCAAGGTATCTATTCGGTGTGAGCATGATCTACACCATAGATCGTCGATCCAACGGTCAGATCTCATCGGATGCAATCAAGAGACATGTCCATTTGATCAGATGCATCAAGGCCTATAAATAGGCTGCAAAATCAGCCATTCCAATCCATCCAAAAGCATTCCTGTAATTCTCTCTCTCTCTCTCTTCCCCCCTCTTGATTTAGAGTTTTTGATCAAGAGTTTCTTAAGCAAGTTTTTGATTTTCTTACTAGTAATCAAATTTTGCAGACTTGATTATCAGTCTCTTGGCTTTCTTGATTATATCAAGAGTATTTTGATCTACTGTTGTCAGTGCAGACGCTGGTAGACTTGATTTTTAGATCAAACTTCATTAAATCTTGGAGGAAAATTTGTTGTAACCCCCTGCACACCTTTTGATGGGTGCAAATATTGCCTTTAGGAAAACGACTAAGTAACGCGACTTGAAGCACCAAATTTTTGTTCTACATAAACAAGATCATCGCCAAGTTTTGAAGACCTGAAGACCACCAACTGAAGAATTCAAGACAAATTGTTCTAACAATCTAAAGACAATATTTGCATATAGCGATGTCTATTCAGAAAATGACTCAAGGTTTCATGAAACTTGACCGATTTGATGGAGAAAATTTCCAACGCTGGCAAAAGAAGATACACTTTTTACTCACCACTCTCAAAGTGGTCTATGTACTGACTACCTCCTATCTGGCAAAGCAAGAAGACGAGACAATGGAGCAAACCTGTACCAAAATCAAATGGGAGAATGACGCCTACATTTGCCGAGGACACATTATGAATGCACTGTCAAACTCTCTGTTCGATGTGTATCAACATCTGGAAATGGCAAAGCAACTCTGAGACATATTACAGTCAAAGTACTTCACTGAGGATGCCACTAGTAAGAAATTTCTTGTTAGGAATTTTATGCATTTTACTATGATTGATATAAAGCGCATTATGGAACAATTCCATGAGATCCAACATACTCTAAATCAGTTTCAAAAAAAGAATATGAACATGGATGAATCTATTGTAGTTTCATCTATAATAGAGAAGCTATCATCTTCTTGGAAAGATTTTAAGAAAACTCTGAAACACAAAAAGGAAGATCTAACTTTAGAGAAATTGGCTCAACACCTCCAAGTTGAGGAAGAGTCAAGACTTCTTAAAAATAAAGATAACCATTTGGCTCAGACTTCCAAGATTCACATGGTGAATGATGGCAAGAGGTTCAACAAAAGGAAGCATAAGCTTGACCCCTAACCTGAGAAAGATGCTAAGAAGCCGAAAGGAGCTTGCTGGCACTTTAGAAATGAATGTTGGTCATACAAGAAGAAGCCAGAAGCATCAAATGCCAAGAACAAGTTCCTGACTATTGTATCCGAGGTGAACATGCTTGAAGATGCTGGTGACTAGTGGATTGACTTGGGAGCAACAAGGCACGTCTGCAACAACAAGAGCCGTTTCACTACTTATAAACAAGTGAGTGATGGAACAGTTCTCTACATGGGCAACTCTTCAACTGCTGCTATCAAAGGCAAAGGGACAGTGGATCCAGAGTTTATATCTAGAAAAATCTTAAGTCTTAATGATGTTTATCGTGTACCTGATGTCAGGAAAAACCTTATATCTGGAAGCTTACTTAATACGCATGGTTTCAAATTAGTATTTGTGTCGGACAAATTTGTCCTGTCTAAGGGTGAGATTTTTATTGAGAAGGGCTACATGTATCAAAGAATGTTCAAACTTAACGTTATCAATAATACATCCATTTCTATTTATGTTGTTGATTCTCTTTCTTTATGGCATGCTTGTTTAGGTCATGTTAATATTAGGACAATGCATGATATGGTTAATTTAGGTTTAATTCCTAAGTATGATATTGATATGTTTGAAAAATGCAAATTTTATGTGCAATCTAAAATTACTCGCATTCCATTTCTTAAAGTAAATAAAATCACATCTTTACTTGAACTTCTGCATAGTGATGTATGTGACATGCATAGTAACCCCACTAGAGGTGGAATGAAATATTTTGTAACATTCATCGATGATTTTTCTAAGTACTATCATATCTATCATTTGTATTCAAAAGAAGACGTGCTTGATAAATTCAAGATTTTTAAGACAAACGTAGAAAATCAGTGTAATGTCAAAATAAAAAAACTTCGATCTGATAGATGCAGTGAATACCATTTTTCAGAATATTGTGAAAATGTTGGTATTATTCATGAGAAGTCTACATCTTACATACCACAACAAAATGGAGTAGTTGAAAGAAAGTGTAAGACGTTAACATAAATGATTAATGCTATGCTTTCTTACTCCAGTTTAAGTTTTAATTTTTAGGATGAAGCCTTGTTCACTGCCTGTCACATACTCAATAGAATCCCTCTTAAGGGAAGAAATGTTACTCCTTATGAACTTTGGAAAAACAAGAAACCTAATCTAGGTTACTTGAAAATGTGGGGTTGTAGAGCAATACTTAGATTGCCTAAACCTAAAAGGAAGAAATTAGGTGAAAAATGAATTGAATGCATTTTCCTTGGCTATGCTATACATAGCAAAGCATATAGGTTTCTGGTAGTAGAACCTAATGGTTCAGTGGAAACAAATACTATTATTGAATCACGTGATACGGTATTTTATGAAAATCATTTCACAACCATTCCACGGTTGGATTCTAATCAAGGAAATGAAAAACTCCTTTGATGTCCACAAAGGAAAGTGAACGACATGAATCCATTGAGCCTAATGAACCTAGTGAGCTTGTTGAGCTAAGGAGGAGTAAGAGGGCTAGGACTAAGAAATCATTTGGCCCTGATTTCATTGTTTACCTTATAGAAGGAACTAGGAAAGCTTATTGTAAGCAAACAATGATTTCTTTGAATATGAATTCAGATCCATCAACCTTTGAGGAGGCTATAAAGTCTCAAGATGTTACTTTCTGGAAAGAAACAATAAACGATACGATGGATTCTATCTTGGGTAACAGTACCTGGATACTTGCTGATTTGCCACCTAGATCCAAACCAATTGGTTGTAAATGGATTTTCAAAAGGAAAATGAAAGTTGATGGCACAAGTGACAAGTTCAAAGTAAGATTAGTTGCTAAGGGTTGTACTCAAAAGAAGGGTATCGATTATTTCGATACATATGCTCCGGTGGCCAGAATCGCCACCATTCGAGTGTTGATTACCTTAGCCTCAATCTACAAGCTTGAAATCCATCAAATAGTTGTTAAGACCGCTTTTCTAAATGGAGAGTTAGACGAGGAAATCTACATGCAACAACTGGAAAGATTTGTAGTACAGGGTTAAGAACAAAGTGTGTAAACTCGTGAAGTCACTATATGGACTAAGACAAGCTCCAAAACAGTGGCATGAAAAATTTGACAACGTAATAGTGTCAAATGATTTTAGGATACATGAATTTGATAAGTGTGTGTACAGTAAGTTTACTGGCAATAGAATTGTAATCATATGTCTATATGTAGATGACATGCTTATTTTTGGTACTGATAATGATGTCATTGAAAGTACTAAAATTTTTTTGTTGTCTAGCTTTAGTATGAAAGATATGAGCTTGGCTGATATAATTCTGGGTATTAAGATCAAACAAGAGGACAATAATTTGATTCTTACCCAATTGCACTATATTGAGAAAATTCTTAAGAAATTTAATCAATATAATTGTACACCCATGTCTACACCTTTTGATTCAAATTTGAAATTGTATCCTAATACTGAAAGAGTTGTTGATTAGCTAGAATACTCAAGAGTAATAGGTAGCCTGATGTAGGTCAAGACTGACACTAGACCTGATATTGTATTTTTAATGGAAAAACTTAGTAGATACACTAGTAATCCCAATAGTGCGCATTGGCATGCTGTTAACCGTATACTTAGGTACTTGAGAAAAACTATAGACTATGGAATAGTCTATAATGGCTATCCAGTAGTGCTGGAAGGATTCACGAATGCTAGTTGGATAACTGACCGTGAAGATCACTTGTCCACGAGTGGTTGGAATTTTACTCTTGGAGGATGAGCTATCTCTTGAGGTTCTAAGAAGCAAACATGCATAACAGACTCAACCATGGCGTAAGAGTTTGTAGCATTGGCTTCTTATAGCAAAAAGGCAGAGTGGCTAAGGAATCTCTTGTTAGAGACTAAGATATGGCCAAAACCTATGCCAACAATATCTTTGCATTGTGATAGTGAAGAAACTCTATCATGGGCCTACAGTCATGTATAATGGAAAGTCCAAGCATATAGGACTGAGACATAGTTGTGTCAGGTAGTTAATCACAAAAGGTGTGATTACAATTTAGTTATGTAAAGTCAAGTGAAAACTTGGCTAACCCCTTAACAAAGGGACTTGTAATGGATTTGGTGTGGAAAACATCAAAGGGGATGAGTCTTAAGCCCACTTAACATAATCACTCCCAGTGAAAACTCGACTCAACGCTTGAAGAAACATCAAGTCTTGAGTTCAATGAGCCTAAGTACACCATATGTCGTGATTGCAAGCACTTAGTTTTATTTCATTTTCATCCCAAGGTTGAAGGTCTTGGTACTTGTAATGTGAAAAGAAGAGGATGAGTTAGCAAACTCTTAATAAGTTTACAACTGGGTTATTAGGGTACGGTAAATTACAAAGGTACTCTCAGTAAGCTTACCTATGTAAGTGTAGGAGGTGGTGCCGCTTCCTATGAGTTTACGGGCTTGACTCTAGAGCGCTCATGAAACAGGATAGACACAAGGCCAATCCACCTATCGATTTGTTTGAATACTTGAGATAACCGATACTGTATGTGAGACATGTCCGGTTGGTCATGTAAGATCGTTAGTTCAAAGACAAGTCTACTATATCATCTTGACTAACTTTGAGATGTCTTCACTAAGCGAATGGTTCAAATCGTACAATATCTTCATTTATGCATAAGGCTGCCAAGTGAACCAAGAGTCTTCATCTTGTATTTTGAAAATGGTAGGAGAATGTTAGGGAATTTTCAAAATTTATAGTTTAGTTTTTGGGTGTTTTCAAAACCTTCCTTGTTTTTCTTTGGAAAGCTTGAAATAAGCTTGGGGACTTTGTTCCACATTGGAAAGAGAGCAAAACATAGAGTACTTAATAAAGTGCTACATGGAATATTCCTTTGAATATGGAATTGTGTGATGGATGCTAGTGTACATGCACTCACACCGCACGCGTGGCATGGGCAGCGGGTTCTGTGGCGTTTGATGGTGCACTTTGCACTTAGCACGCATGCAATGGCGCAAGGCGCCATGAGGGCACTTTCCTATTTGCATCGAACAGGTTGGAGCGATGACATGGATCCAAGATGCCATGGGTGATGTGGAATACAGTTAGCTCCGCGTGGCAGTGATGTGGCGTTTGTTGGCAATGAGTCAATCAACCGATCGAACGGTTGCGTGTCTGATCTGGAGCAGTTTGATCATAGTCGTTGATTGGAGATGCGTTCGATCGTACAGATGAGATGGCACCCGATCGTGATCAGGTATGATTAGGCAAGGTATCTATTTGGGGTGAGAATGATCTGCACCATAGATTGTCGATCCAACGGTCAGATCTCATTGGATGCGATCAAGGGACATGTCCATTTGATCAAATACATCAAGGCCTATAAATAGGTTGCAAAATCAGCAATTTCAATCAATCCAGAAAGTATTCCTACAATTCTCTCTCTCTCTCTCTCTCTCTACCTCTTTTGATTTAGAATTTTCGATCAAAAGTTTCTTAAGCAAGTTTTTGCTTTTCTCACTGGTAATCAAATTCTGAAGATTTGATTATCAGTGTCTTGGTTTTCTTGATTATATCAAGAGTATTCTGATCTACTGTCGTCAGTGCAGACGCCGGTAGACTTAATCTTTAGATTAGGCTTCATTGTATCCTGATGGCGAATTTACTGTAACCCCCTACATACCTTTTGATAGGTGCAAATATTGTTTTTAGAAAAGCGACTAAGTAACGCAACTTGAAACACTAAATTTCTGTTTTACATAGACAAGATAATCACAAAGTTTTGAAGACCCGAAAACTACCAACTAAAGAATTCAAGACGAATTATTCTAACAATTTTAACTCACATAACAAATAAATCATTTTTTATTCATTAGTTATATGAATGAAAAAAAAAAATGTTATAATCTATTTTTTACTAAAATGCATATCTGCCTTTATTTACTTCCATGTTCACCCACTATCTCCATTAATTTTGGTAATTTTACCCTTACTAAAACACAATTCAGTGTAATTATGTAAAAAAATGTAGGACTAACTGTATTATCTCTAAATAAGGGAGGTGAGTGTAATTTACCAAAATTTAAATATAAAATTTTGCACCCATTACTATATGTATGTGTGTGTGTGTGGATACATAGGGAGAGATTTGGACCTCAGTTTGTTGGGTAGGAACAGAGTCCTGTGGGGTTGCAGAGGAGGGATTCTCTGTGGATGTATCAGTTTCAGCTTCTACAGCTTCTGTGGCAGATGAAACAGAGAGTTTTTGAATCCTTCTAATCTCAGGTCCCCTGCTTCTGAATCTCAGGTCAAGAATGTTGTTGGCTGAATCCAAAGAAAAGGCCTTGTGCTTCACAGGAATTGAGGGGTATGTGAAAGTTCCTCTAATAATACCATATTGAATTGACATGGATGCCATCTTGTATTCTAGTCTAGACAAACAAAACACACTTGTGTGTGTATGAGAGAGAGAGAGAGAGAGAGAATTTCTAGAGTTGGAGACAGTCCATGGGTGAGTTGTGGATAAGAGAGCAATCCCCCTGAAGATTTTTTCTTTTTTGTGGGAACAAAATCCCTCTGAAGATCAGTTGCAACTTGTATGCACATTGAACAGGAAAGATTAGGATGGGCCTATTGGTCACACTTGGGCTGCCCAATACAATGGTTAGCCTGCATCCAAACTGATTTGATCCCATTGGTTTATTGGGTCTAGTCGAGCTATTCTAAGCTCGATCCGAAAAAAAATAAAAAATAAAAATAAAAATTATAAATCGAAAATTTTGTTTAAAAAGGTCTAAAAAGTGTATTTTTTTTTTCTAAAAAAATATATAAAAAATAAATAAATAAATGATGTGACTTAAAAAATATAAAAAGATGGCTATTGTAAGGGATGCCACTCAATATATGGACTTTTTTTTTTTAATATAATTATCTTGGAAGGATATTTGACCTTTTTAATAATTATTTAAATTTAAATCATTAACAAAACCTAATAGCAAAATGAATTTGAGTCATTTAACAAAGTTTATGCTTAATCTATAAAAAGAAGCATATATATACTTTTCTTATCTTTCTTTATTATTATTATTTAGTTAATAATGTAACTAAATAATATAAAATTAATATTTTATAATGGGCGGAGTGAGGCGGGTTCTGGAATCAAACCAGCTCAAAATTTTGCTTAAAAAGTTACTAATTTTCTTAAAAAAAATTTCAACTCATACAAAAGAAACAAATTCCATCCCATTATTCCACAAAGTCAGGCCTTGTTTGGGAACAGACTACTTTAATAATTTTTTGACTTTTTGGCTAAAATATAAGGTGAAAAAAATTAGTATTTTTGGGATGACTTTTTGACTTTTTACGAAAAGATATGCAAAAAGTAGAGAAAAAATAAAATATTTGACTTTTTGGTATAAGTTGTTGACTTTTTGATTTTTTTAATAATTTTTTGACTTTTAGGCCAAAACAGCCACTTGCCAAACGAGCTTAGTTACTTTACTTTTCATACATTTTTATGTAAAAAAATCAAAAATTAAAAATTATTACTAAACATATTATTTTTTGGAGTGAATTATACTTACCTCCTTGAGATTCAACAAAAATACAATTAGCTCTATAAGCTTGATATAATTATATTGACATTTCTTTTAGTATGGTAAGGTCATCAAAACTAAAATAGATGGTGGGTAAAAACATAAATAAACAAAGCATGCACGCGACAACATTATTTTTTATTCATACGACTTACGAGTTATTGATGAAAAATGACTCTAATGTTATATGAATTAAAAGCTCGAGAAAGATTGGTGTAATTTTGTTAGCAATGTGAGATTAATTATATATTTTTTAAACTTCAAAAAAAATAAGTGTAATTTATTTTAATTTTTTTATCACATATTTAAAAAAAAAACACTAAAAAAAATCATTTTTCAACCGGAGCCAACTCTTACACGTTGCACTTTTATTGATGAGGAATTTTCATTTGAGAAATGCTAAAGGCACCGATTACGTTGTATTTGATTGAACGATTTAGAAAAAGATTTGAAAAAAAAAATAAAAAAGAAAAGTAAAATATACTTATATTTTACCTAGTTTCACACACATTTTCTTTTTTTCTTTTTCAAATCCCTTTCTAAATCTCCCAACCAAACACAACATTAAGCAATAATGTTAAAAACACATCCACTCTCCGTCCAAAATATTAGTTCTTTATTTTATTTTTTTATTGTGCCAAAATATTAATCATTTTTCAAAAATCAATGACTAAAATAATAAGAATTTTCTATTTTTTTTCTTCTTTTAAATTTATTAATAACACAAAATGTACAATTATGAAAATGGATATCTCCAAAAAAAAGTATTATCAAAGAGTAATTATAAAAAATTAATATTTTTAAAGTTTAATAATTATACTATCAAAAAAAATTTAATTACTTTAAAAAAAGACTATTATTTTGAGGCGGGGAGAGTAAATTAATATCCAAAATAAGACATGTATGTATTGTAAGAGGTCCTATGCGAGATCAGTATTTTATTCAATGTTTGGTCCTACATACTTGTTGCGGCTTAGGTCTACCCATTGGCTGATCCATCTCAGCCATGTCTCACTATCTTTGATAAAACAAAATGGCTCACTGCCTTGTTAAATCATTGTCGATGCAAATGAAATTCTCAATCTTTGCATTTTCCCAACAAACTCTCAACCAAACCTTCTATCTACCCAGAAAACTTGTAGAGACTGTCACGTGAATTTCATCTCTAACAATCAGTGGCTCCACCACCAAGGACAAGTGATTTATTTCACTCTCATCTATGCCACAAACATCGGACAAACCATGTATCTTTGGTTAAGATACTGCCTTTATCAACTTTTAGATGATTATTTTTGGAGAAATCACAATTGAGTGAAGGTTGAGAGAGAAAAAAAAACCCACAAATATGGAGGGTTGTAATTTTGAGTTGTACCTCGAAAGCTTTTGACCTGTATCCCATTACAGAATGAGTTGCATCCTCATATTTTTGTAAATTTTGTTTTTCCTGCCTTTTAAGTTTACAATTGTATTAGACCATCTTCAATCATTTATCAGATTTTTCATCAAATTTAAATTTGATAAAAAACTGATAAAAACTGTGCTCCAATGTAAACCAATGTCAAATTTGGGAAATTATTAAATATTCCCGGAGTACCACGTGTCTGTATTCCTTAACTAATTATCATTTAATATGTCTCCTTATGTTCTACAACCACCTAACAGAATACCTTACCTATCCATCTTCTCCACCAATCATAATATTATGGAATACTATGTGTCCATACTTCAAGACTACTGAATAATTACCTATCAAATATAGGATATCTTAGATCTTTCATCAAATTGAGGATGTCTGAACATTTCATCAAATTACTGTAGATAGCCGTTAACTTTACACGTATGCATAAGCACTGGACAACCGGTTGGATGTCCGGGCGATTGTCCTCTTGGTCGACCATTTTCTTGCAAAATTTGTTTCAAAATTTTGAAAATTTTACATTGATTGGACAGCCCCTTGGTCGTCCTCCCGGTCGACCGATGGTTTAATGAAATCCTAGATTACTCTGTCCCAATATCAAATGAATCTTTTACTCAATTTTTTTACTCAAATTTAATTGAAAAAAAAAATAAATAAATAAACATTGGAGATGCTCTTAGAGTATCTTCAATCCTTCACTTTTTCTTTCATCAAATTTAAATTTGATGAAAAAGAATTCAAAAATCATCTTCAATCCTTTCATCAAATGTTCATCAAATCAAGGGAGTCATTTTTTTCATCAAATTGAGAACTCATCAAATCTTTCATCAAATTTGAATTTGATGAAAAATTAAAAAGATGAAGCATTGGAGATGATTTTTTCATCAAATTTGATGAAAAGTAAAATTTGAGATGAGAATGTAATTTTTTAAAAGATTTTGATGAAAATTTGATGAAAGGATTAGAGCAGTGCATATGAAATCAAACTTTTTTACTCAAATTTAAAATCAAATTACATGAAAAGTTTGGTAAATGATTAGAGATGATCTAACAAATGATCCATTTTATTAATAAATTATCAATTCAATTAACCATTTTTAATGATATTATAAATATATTTCAATTAACAATTCAAGTAATTTTATTGTTGTATAAAAGAGTAGTTTGGAATTTTTATTTTTTCTATTAATTCTTTTAAATAAAAAAAATTCTGACAAAGGTGTATTTATAATTTTCAAAACTACATGAGGCAATCTGTATTTTAAACAAATCTCAATGGGTATATTTGTAATTTTCCCTATTTTTAAAAAAAATTATAAAAAAATCGGGGTCAAAATCCTTATAAGACAATAAATCTTGAATTTTTAATTTTTTTCAATTTGAATTCTAAACTTTTGATTTATTTTTAGAATTTGGACTCTTATTTTTAATCTAAACCTTTTGGTTATTTATGCTAAGTAAAATTATTGGAAAAAATAGTATTTTAGCCATTAAACTCAACGAAAAATAATATTTTTGATATTTTATGTACACATACATTGAGTTTAATAACTAATATATTATTTTTCAATCGATTTTACTTAACGAAAATTGAATGATAGTTTTTTTTTTTTAGATTGAAAAATAGAATGATAGTTTAGATTGAAAATAAATTAAAAAATTTAAATTTAAATATATAAAACTAAAAATTTAGAATTTATTTTATTATAAAAGTCAAATTATGAGATTTTTTTGGTCATTTTTTTTTCAGTTTAATTAAATTATTTCTATTTCAAAAGTCATAAACAAAAACTGAACCAAATATTTTAACACCAACTTTTAAGAAAAAAAAAATTACAATCGGTATTATAAACTACACTAATAACACCAAAGCCTATCAAATCCTTCTTGGCAAGAGAAGCGAAGGTACAAACACACCAACATATTTTTTTTTTGATTTAGCCCTCGTTTGGCAAGTGATTTTTTTAGTCAAAAAGTTAAAAAATTACTAAAAAAGTTAAAAAATCAACAACTTATACTAAAAATTCAAAGATTATATTTTCTCTCTACTTTTTGCACATCTTTTCGTAAAAAGTCAAAAAGTCATCCCAAATATACTAATTTTTTTTACATCATATTTTAACCAAAAAATTACTAAAAAAACCTGTTGAGAAAATATTAATACTATATTTTTAACATAATTATATTAACTTTTCTTTTAATAAGGTGAACGAAACAATAACGAATATAAGTGGTGTAAGGCCATAGAGATAAACAATATAAAAGAAATGATAATATAGTTTTTTATTTATATGATTAACGAAACACTGATAAAAAAGCGATGAAGTATTATGTGAGTTAAACTTAAAAAAAATCTAATATAATTATGTCAAACTTAAAAGATTTATTGTATTTTCTTGAAGCACCAAGATAAATAAATATAATTTACCCTTTCTTAAAAGATATAGGCAATGATAGGTGGTTTATAAAATAAGAGGAAGTTACGCTCTTGTGAAGGTTTTCAAAACAGATAAAACTTTTCAACTCTAATAATTAAAGTTATAGATTTTTT